GCATTCCTGTGCAGTGCAGCCCAAAAGGAAAGAGACATTTCTTCCCTTTCAGAGACTGGTAACCAACACCAAACTGCAAAATTGAGCAACAGCAACCCAGAGACCAGATTACAGGCTGAAAATCTGCATCTCACACATCTACCATAGGTGCAGATGTAAGAAGCTGAGTTAATTACTATCTGGTTTTGTATGCAAACTCACCTCACACTTTGACAAGCTGAAAGTATGGCCAAGGTGCAATCGGCCATTCATGTAAGGGTAGGGGAAAGTGACAAAATACTTGTTTTTGCTGGAAAGAAAACCAAAAAAAAGATTAATTGAAGTATGTATTTGAGACCAACAATATTTGATATTTAACATTTATTTCCAAGCAAAGTGGTGTAAACATGAAAATAATATAGGGCTATTTGTTTCAAAAGCTAATCCTGGGTATTTTTAATTGAACTGCACATCCTACCCACACCCACGTGTTTTTATTTTCCCCAACATCAATAACAGAAAAAAATACATTAACGTTATATACACACACTACGACACATGCTAAGATGTAGTGTCTGACACTCCTGAATAAAGCAATCTATGCTAACTACTTTGTACATAAATGGTCCGTCTGCATACTGAACTATTCCTGGGTCAAATATGTAAAAGAGAACAAAAAGTATCGAACTTTGTCTTCATCAAGATAGCAACATAAGACAGCTGCTCACTTTGTGGTCTCCCCGATTGTTGTAGGTGCATCCTGTTCAAATGCCCTCTCCTTCTCCCATTTTTCCTGGATCTCGAGCTCAATTTTCCTCAAAAAGTCCAACTTTGCTGTTCCTTTCCGCTCCTGGAATACAAAGGAAAAGCAAGATCATAATTGATTAACGTTAACGTTAATGAAAAGACAGTGACATGACAGCGCCAAGAAAAAACGAATACAGTTAATACTCTGGAATAGTACAGTTACAGAATAGAACAGTAAATGTCATAAGAACAGTTAAAACAAGTGGTAATGTCTAGCTCAGCTGAGTCAGATTTCTTTCAAGTCTTTGCAGTTGGCTCCACAATTAGCCAACTTAGCTAATGGCTATATTTAATGTAAAAGATATAACCGATATAACCAACACCTCTAAACCATTCTAAGCTGTAGAATAACCAGTGCATTGAACGTACCGTCATTTTGCCCCAAATTCCCAACTATATATTACTTTGTTATTTAGACAGGAAAAAAACAGCAGCTTCCAATTTGACAAGCAAAAGCCACGCCACCGGTGCCTGGCTGATGATATCTCGCGTGGTTTTCGGGTAAATGTTGTCCGTAAAACTTTTCAGGTGTCGTATTATTATATATCTAACAAACTGGGACCCTCAAATGTTATAACGATTTGGTTAAGCCTGCATATTTTAATACACGGTTGTAGGCACACTGAGATGAATTAAGTGAATTAAATAAAGTCACAATATGATTGTCACATTAACGTCCATCGTAGGGCCAGCGTTACGACAGCTCGACTTGTGTTACTATGCCGCAAAACATTTTGTCCGACCTGCCAGTGAACAGAGACAGAAGGCCTTAAAGCTTATAATCTTTTAGATGATGAAAGCAGGGTTATCAAAACTCACTTTCATTTTATAGACAGTATTATAGTCGTTCTCACGATGATCATAGAGAATGTGGAAGCCCTGAAATCGTGGCTGGCAAAACTCCTGGAGCCAATGTGAGTATTGAACTAAGATGACATTTAGCTCGCATGCTACGTAGCTACGTTAGCTGAATAGTCAGTGGGTTGGCCTACCATCAATGGGGAACAGGGGCTTGCTAGAACCTGATGGCAAATTCCTGCACGAGTTAGCTAACATTAACCACACTAGTCGCTAGCTGGCCTTATATAGCAAAGAGAGACACTCTGATCTTTCGTTAACTAAAAGGAATGACCTATAACGTTGTAGTATGTTTGTTGCACTGTTATTTAGGGTAGTTATGCACGTAGTTGTATTCACGTTAATGCAACTTTAACCGTTCTGTAGCAACCCACCAAGCTGCAACAGATAACTTTACTCGTATGCTGCTACTTCAGATTTAAATAGCTAACAACTTATTTTGCTGCAATGTGTCATGTTTCATTTTAACAGTTATAGTTTGTATGTTGCACGTTGTCAAACATAAGTATTCTTGGAGTTACCATAGTTACGCACACTCTGCCTCTCGCTCTTACAAATGCAAAATCATCCAATGGTTTAATTACGAGTGGACAAAGATGTTGCGGTAACAGTCACCCATATTAGCTATATGTGTCTCATGTTATGGCATAACTTATTCTTGATTACTCTCTCGGCTTTAGAAAAGATAGGCTATATATTTTGCCTCTTAAAGCGTCCAGGAGTTAGTTGAATCTTGATGCGTTGGCTTTGTTAACTTTAAACAAAAGACTTCTCATCGGCTTAGTGTTGATCTCATTCATCTCCCATTTCCCCCAAAGTTCTGTGTTTGGCCTGCTTTATTCTCTCTTTATATAAATAACTTGGAATTTCTTGTTGTGCTGATGATGACGTTTCGTATACCCTCACTCACAGAGGCACTACATAAACTGCAGTCTGAGTTTAATATTTTACTATGCTTAGAAATTTAACAAAGCAGAGTAGCTGATATTAACATCCTATATGTACTAACCTACAGATGTGATGCTGACCCCTCTGCATTAGCCAACTATGTGGTGGCTCTTGTGAAGAAGGACAAAACAGAGAAGGAGCTGAAAGCATTTTGTGCTGATCAGCTTGATGTCTTTCTACAAAAAGGTATGAACTTCATTCAAAGCAACATGCAGTTTTGCAGGACTTAGCTTTTGCTGGTTAAGAAAGTTGCACACAAAGTTTTCCTTCACAGATTTCTATTCAGAAAACAATGGAATGTTATTCACTTTGTTCTCCTAGTATGTCCCATTGATTTAGTGTTTATGTCACAAACACTGTTGGAACCACAGGCATTACAGAGCTCCTTCAGTGAAATGATTATTTCCCTGTAGTGTCTAAATCTATGAAGGCCAGGTTAGTAAAGAGCTTTAGGCACAACATGTTGATCATAAACAAAGCATTGTTTATGATCAGCATGTTCTGCCTATGGTTTTTTCAAAGGGAAAATGTACATTAAGAACATAAAAATATATTGGCTTTATGTTTTAGATAACTCACACAATAAATTGAAGTCAGTGCAGTATTTAGCCCTGTGATCTCCTGTGGGTGCTGTATGAAACGGTGCCACTTTAACTGCAATCCTAATGTTACTAGCAGGAGATTGCAATGTTTCAGAGACTTGAGCACTGGTAAAAAGGTGACTGGCTACACCCACAGAGGTCAGCGCAGCTGGACTCTAAGCTCAACAAATTTTAACTTGCAGTGAATTCCCACTACATGTTGCACACTGTTTGTGTAGAGCCTCTGCAGCACATCACATATACAACAACGCTGAGACGCCAAAAAATGCCATTTTTCTGCAATAATGTTAACACAATTTTAATGTTATGAAGGGGTAGTCATGCTTTGCCAGTCTGACAATATATGTAGTTTGCATTCTTTGAGCAAACGTCAGATTTATAAGTGATCAAAATACACAGATATTAGTGACCAGTGACCTCTTTTAAAATTCCTTTCTGACCATAAGCTTAAGCGATACATTGTGAGATGCAGTCAGCTGTGCATGATCACCTTCTAGTACTTGTGGATTCCTATTATGGCCACTAGGGGGTGTGTCGCATTATTTGTAAGGACTCGTATTCCCCCCCTAGTCTGTATTATATGAAGCATCAACTTGTTTGGCTTGAGTTGTAATAATGTAATAAAAGTAATGGCTAATTTAATGGTTACCATTCTCCAATCATATCATATGATGACTCATATGAAATGTTACATAAGCATCAACAATGACAATGGGCCAAAACAACCCCATTACGGTAGAGTTACATCAGGTGTCAGCTATGTAACGATACTGAACACGTTCTCATATTGATTGTCTTCTGACTGTTAGTCAAAATATTTCTCATTTATTCTCATCTCTTCATGTCTCACTAACATTCCCCATATTAGGACCACACAGTTTACATAATATTCTTTTACACCTTAATCATCCTTGTACAAAAGCTTAGTGCAAGGCCACAAAGCCTGCCAGCACTTAGGTAGTCTTTGACTTACTTAAGAATTACAGTCAGCTTGTTCCTTTGTCTTTTACCAAGTAGTTTTTCCCTGTTTTAGCCCCTGTTCTTTCTGTGTTTGTTATTCAGTTGGTGTTTATTAGACTTTGAATATATGTAGTGCATTCGGTTCCAGTGAAGACTAAATCTTTTCACATGATTCATATTGTCATTGCAGAGACAACAGGATTTGTCGATAAACTTTTTGAATGTCTGACAACCAAGAACTACTTGGGAAACCCTGCAGCCAAGGAAGCACCTAAAGAGGAGGTCAAACCAATAATCAAGTCTGATGCTGTGGAGGTAAGCATGCTTTGTGAGAAATTGCTATATTCGGAAAATACATGGCTTGCCTGTGAAAAATCAGCCCAGTTACCGATTGAAGCATCTTTAAAGTGGTTCTGTAGAAAAGTGGGTAAAGCATAGCATGAAAATGAGCATTTTTTTTCTTTATGGGTTTTTGGATCAATGCATGTGATAATCATCTCAAAGAGTGTCATTGCACATGGCACTTCCTCTGTTGTCTTTCCATATAAGTGATATTCTGTCCAGACTGAAAGGAAATCATTTGATCAAATCGTATCCAAAACAAAAAAGATGACTATTTAAGTTGTAGCTGTTTTTTTCCCCTCAAGGCTGAAACTCCAGAGGAGGAGCGAGAAAACAGACGGAGGAGGAGTCCCCTGAGAAACCGCCTTGACTTCAGCGAGTCCAGGTACGGCTGTGGCTGCAGGGACGTATTTCAGCTGAGCTTAATGACCAAGCAGAGGTCTTGTGCAGATATTATTCTCTCATGTGAGATATACCTTAACCCTGTGTATCATGCAGACATTTTCAATACTTTTTCTTTGTTTGTTTGTTTTTAAACTGCTGATAAAACCCTATCACATGGTGTAGTTGTGTAGCAATTGTAAGATGTGGATATATGTGCATGGTTAGTTTCATATCACCCTGCTTTTAGTTTATCCTTGGCCCTGGTGTCCAGTAGTATGTCTCTCATCTGCGAAGTATCTAGTCCAAAACAGATGGCATGGTACAACAACTGTAATACTGTCATTCAAAACAACAGTGTTTTTAATGTGTAATTTAGATTTTGCATCATAAATAACATAGCCTTATACACAACTTGCTTTGCGTTTCTCTTTATGACAGAATGAAGGTTATTTTGTCATTGATTTATTCCCTCTGATTACTTTTACTTTCCTATGCTTTTCCTGTATAAAAGTTGCTATTAGTGAAAGCCAGTACGTCCTATAGATTTAACACTTAATTGCCGTTCAGAGATAGGAAAGGATTATGATCCTAGAAATGCTCTAGTAGTTTTGATGTAAAAGAGATGGAGGAAAAAAAGATGAAGATTTATTAACAGCAAGCAACAGCAAATTAACACAGTTTGTGAGCAGATCAGACAGAAGGGAGGCTTTTCACTGAAATATGATTAAATATACTTATAAACAAGGGAAATCATTACGAAGAGTCTCTGTAACAACAAGAGGTCTGGCTCTCTCTTCTGTACAGTCAAAAGTCACTGGTTGAGAACTGAATTCACAGTGCATATTAATAGACACAGATAAAAATATGATCCATGTGTTCTCATTTTGTATTCAGTAAGACCCACATTACCTTAGATGGTTTAAGATTCAGTTCTGCTAGAACCCTCTTAAATATGTCTGTCTGACTCTTGATTTAAAAGAAGCATAAAGTTTGTAATTCAAATGTGTTCCCTCTAAATTATCAACCGCTCAGGAGCCGTGATGACAGGAGGCGAGAGGAGCGCAAGCGCCGTGACTTCGATCGGCACGGGAAAAGCGTCAGTGACTCCCACCGTGAGCGGGAGCGCCACGAGCGTCGCAGGGGCAGGCCCC